TTTGTCAAAGAATGCAATGGGATTAGTCTGGCATGATCTGTTTTTGACAAACCCATGTTGTCTTTTGGTTATTACTTTATTTTCTTCTAGGTGTTCACTGATTTGTTGCTTCATTATCTTTTCCAGAATCTTCCCTGGTATTGAGGTCAGGCTGATAGGTCTGTAGTTCCTGGATCTGTTTCCCCCCCTCCTTTTTTGAATATGGGAACTACATCAGCTCTTTTCTAGTCCTCTGGCAGTTGCCTGGTGCTCCAGGATCTTTGAAAGATATAGTTCAGTGATTCTGAGGTCACATCTGCCAATTACTTCAGAACCTTGGGGTGTAATCCATCTGGTCCTGGTGATTTGAATTCGACTAGGGTAGATAAGTGCTCACTTACCATTTTCTTCCCTATTCCTAATCTGTTTTTTTTGTGCGGCTGTTTTGGTAGGTTGGACTGTTTTTTCCCTTTGTGTAAAGACAGATGCAGAAAATGAGTTAAGTAGTTCTGCTTTCTCCCTGTTGCTTGTCACCTTCCTGCCACTTTCTCCCAGCAATGGACCAATTGTTTCCTTGACTTTTTTCTTGTTTTTAACATATTGGAAGAAGCCTTTTTTGTTAGTTTTTTACTTTTGTCGCAAGCCTTTGTTCGTTGTGAGCCTTAGCTTTCCTCACTTCATCTTTGCAGGCTCAGGCTATTTGCTGCTATTCTGCCTTATTTATGTGCGCCTCTTTCTATTTGTCCTTTTTGTCATTCAGTTTGTCAGAGAGTTCTTTATGCAGCCATGCTGGTTTCTTTTGAGAGCTGTTATTGCTCTTCTTCATTGGTATTGTGGAGTGGAGAAGCGGTTGGGCAAGATTGCAGGCGGTTGCTTTCTATGAAATCTTTAGTCTCAGGAAGTCCAAAGTCCTGTTCAACTTCCAGGATCACTATCAAAGTCTTGCCTCTATGGCAAGGGCTTCACCAGTCACATTTATTAGACCACAGGGACAACCGGCACACAGGGCCATAATGGGCTGCTTTGGTTTTGATCTAGCAGGTTTCATGGGCTCAGGCATTGGGCTTTATAAATCGGAGGTCAAGGCTCAGCATCCTGTAAAAGCCCCATTAAATGAGCATTATTCAGATTATAATTTAGTTCAATGCATAAACTCCAGATTTTCCTGTGGGCACTTTAAACTCCCAGAAACTTTGGGGAAAATAAATGAGTTAGGTTGTCAGGCTTGCCTAAGGGCTAAGCTCTTCAACCCTTTTTTAAAAATAAAGGATGTACACGAGGGGACAAAAGTTGTGGTAATAGGAATCCCAGATGACACAAAATTCAGGTGGGGGTGGGGGTTGCTAACCCCTCAGATTAGGCTGTAAAAAGATATTTATTGGTTCTCGTTTCATAAGGTGTAGTTTCAAAACGCCCATTTGCACTTGGGCGAGACAAAAACAGAAGCCTGTGTGCAGGGCTGGGCTTGGGGGCTTGGAGGGTGGGCGAGGGCCTCTGCGAACAACCAGGCAATCCTGCCAGCCCTGGCAGAAGCGCCACGGCTTCAAAGAGGAGCTATTTGGCGGTTGGCACAACGGGCCGGCCAACTCCTCGGCCCCTTTCCTTGGGACCCTCCGCGGGGCAGCGGGAGGGAGGAGGGTCCCTTCCTTGCCAAGCCGATCGGCAGGGCGGGAGGACCCACCACCAGGGGCGCCAGCTAGCCCTCCGCAGTTCCCCCTCGCGTCCGCAACGGCTGCTTCTGCGGTCCGGCTGAGAGCAGCGCCGATTCCGCGGCTCTTCTCCGGCGCCGCCCCTTCCTCTAGGTGCCTCCTCGCTCAGCCAGCCAGCCGGCCTCCACGGCCCGCCCGCCCGCTACGCGAGCCCGGGGATCGTAGCGGCGCGCCAGGCCCCAGGTAGGCAGGAGGGCGGCGCCGGGGGGCCTTGGGCGAGCCAGGCCGCTGCGGGGCCGAGCGAGAGGGCGCCGCGCTCCGTCTGCCGGGCCTGGCTCGCCCGGGAAGCCCGCAGGCCTCTCCCGCCCTCCGAGGCTTCCGGCCGCCGCCCCACCGCTCCTCTTGGTCACCCGGTTGGGCTTCCCCGGATCAGCCGGGAGTGCCGGCCGGCCGAGCAAAGCTGCGACAGAGGAAGCGCGGCGCAGGAGCGCCCAGGGCGGCCTTGCGTGGAAGGGAAGCCTGGCAGCCACCAGCCCGATGGGGCCCTTCTGCCCCTGCGCCTCCGCCCCCAAGTGCCTCTCCCGAGGGCAGCGGCGCCGGCGGAAAGGCGGCCCCGAAGCCCGGCTGCGACTTTCGTGCTTCCCTTCCCCGCCTTCGGAGGAGCGGAAAGAGGCGGCGGCTCTGCGGAGTTTGGGGACGATCGGCGCTTTCGGGCCGAGGATGCGGGTGGCGTTTGTGCCGCTCCCCAAAAGCAGCCCCGGTTGGGAGAAGCGCCAGGCCAGGCTGACTGCCCGTCGGATGCTTGGCGACCTTTGCGGGGACTTTGGGCTTTGTGCCCATCCTCGGCGGGACTTGCCTGCGGGACCCCCGGACTCCGCCGCTGCCGCCGGGCTGCCTCAATGGGGAGAGGCGTCAGGAGGACCAGGGGAGGGCGGCCTTTCTGCTCCGGGCTGCGCTAGGCGGACGCCCTGCTGAGACCCCGTCTCCTCCTCTCTCTCCCTCCCCCCAGGCAGAAAGGGCGCCCGAGGAGTGAGAGTGGGGAGGAGATCCCCCAGAGCAGCCCTGGAGCCTAAAGCTGGGAGAAAACATCGGAAGCCAGGTGATCATTCTTCGGCAACCTGTGGCTTCCTTTGAAAGAAAGGCTCCTTTGAGTTCCCTTCTCTTTCCATCAGCGGTCCTTGCAGGGAGTATTTGTCTGGTTGTAATGTAGCCCACCAGCAACTGAGCAAACTCTCCTTTCCAGGCTTGTGATCACAGATCCTCACTTCCAATCTTCCTAACTTCAAAAAAAGAGCTCCCTGCAGTGATAGGCAGCGTCCTTGCTGTTGCCCATGTCACTTCTTGCTTTCAAAATGGAGTAAATAGCAGTGAAGAAAGCTGTTTCAATTCAGGAACTCTGGTGGGGGAGGCAGATCTTGAAATATGACCTTGGCTGGCAAATTTCTCTTGCTGATTCTGATCCCCCGTTTTCAATTCTATGTTTCGTGTGAAGGAACCTTGTTTTGGAGAGCTCCTGCACCCTGATCCCAACCTGAAATCGGCTTCTGCTGGAAAGGCAGTTGCCAGTGATTCTTACTAGCCTATTCTCTTTCTTTGCAGGCTCCTTCAGAGGCGTTCTGGAAGGACAAGGCGCTGGGACCTCAAGGTGACCACCGGGATGTCTGGCCTGCTTTGGTCTGATGTGTCTCAAAGGTAGCTGGCCCCTCCTCCGAGGACTCGCACGACCACTCTAGTGATCGTTCTCTAGGAATAGCTTTCCTTGATTGCTCTGCCTCACTTGAGCCGCAAAACCGCTTATTGTGGAACCCCCCTCTTTTTCTCCCCAGCATGTCAGAAACCTGGTCACAGCAGCCGCCACCCCCCCAGCAGGCCCCGCATCACGTGGCCACAGCCACCCTTCCAGAGCACCCCATCCCGCCCAGTGCGGTGACCGAGAACCCTTTGGGCTGTGCCGTCTATGGTATCCTCCTGCAGCCGGAGCCCAGCGGGTTGCAGCACCCATCCATCTCCGCCAGTGGTGGAGGGGAGGCCTCTCCCAAATGTGGGATTTGTGGGCATGACCTGTCTCACCTCTCCAACCCCCAGGAGCACCAGTGCCTACAAGGCGGCCACGACCGTTCCTTCCAGTGCACTCAGTGCATGAAGATTTTTCATCAGGCTACGGACCTTCTGGAGCACCAGTGCCTGCAGGTGGAACAGAAGCCCTTCGTCTGTGGTGTCTGCAAGATGGGCTTCTCCCTGCTCACCTCGCTGGCCCAACACCACAGTGTCCATAATGGCAACACGGCCGTCAAGTGCTCCATCTGTGAAAAGACCTACAAGGCAGCCGCGGCGGCAGTGGCAGCTCCCGAGGAACCTGCCCCGCCACAGCAGCCGGCGGCCCTCAACCGGACCCCCGCGGAGAAGCCGTACAGCTGCTCCATCTGCCAGAAGCCCTTCAAGCACCTCTCGGAGTTGTCGCGCCACGAGCGAGTGCACACCGGGGAGAAGCCCTACAAATGCAGCCTGTGCGACAAGAGCTTCAGCCAGTCCTCACACCTGGTGCACCACAAGCGCACCCACAGTGCTGAACGGCCCTACAAGTGCACCGTGTGCGAGAAGGCCTTTAAGCACCGCTCCCACTTGGTGCGCCACATGTATGCCCACTCAGGCGAGGCCCACCTCTTCCGCTGCAACGTCTGCGAGTTGCACTTCAAGGAGTCCTCGGAGCTGCTGCAGCACCCCTGCACGCCCAGCGGCGAGCGGCCCTTCCACTGTGCGGCTTGCCACAAGGCCTTCCGGCGGCCCTCGGACCTCCGGCAGCATGAGCGCACCCACAGCACGGAGCGCCCCTTTCAGTGCGATCTTTGCCAGATGAGCTTCAAGCAACAGTATGCGCTCATGCGTCACCGCCGCACTCACAAGGCTGTGGCCCCTGCCCCGTCTTCGGAGCAGGAGGCTGCTCCGCTGCCTTTCAAGTGCTCCCTGTGCGAGAAAGGCTTTGTGCAGCCAGCCCACCTCCTTTACCACCAACACGTCCACGGCATTGAGAATCTCTTCAAGTGCAACGCCTGCCAGAAGGGCTTCAGCCAGTCCTCCGAGCTGCTGCGCCACCGCTGCGTGCAGAGTGCCGAGCGGCCTTTCAAATGCACGGCCTGCAGCAAGGCCTACAAGCGCGCCTCTGCCTTGCAGAAGCACCAGCTGGCTTCGCACTGTGCCGAGAAGCCCCTCCGCTGCACCCTGTGCGAACGGCGCTTCTTCTCCTCCTCCGAGTTTGTTCAGCACCGCTGTGACCCTGCCCGCGAACGGCCCCTGAAGTGCCCAGACTGCCAGAAGCGCTTCAAATATGCCTCCGACCTGCAGCGCCACCGGCGTGTCCACACGGGAGAAAAGCCGTACAAGTGCCCCTCCTGCGAGAAGGCCTTCAAGCAGCGGGAGCACTTGAACAAGCACCACGGGGTCCACACCCGAGAGCAGCACTATAAGTGCATGTGGTGCGGCGAGCGCTTCCTGGACCTGGGTCTGCTGCAGGAGCACAGCGCACAGCATACCTCCACAGAAGGCACTTACACGGTGGCTCCCTGCCTGCCCTGAGCAGGTCCTCTGCCAAGCACAGCCCCCGGGCCCTTCTAGAGCTGGTCCCGGCCTGCCCGGAGAAAGCCCGTCCATGGGCAAATCTGACAAAGCAAAGTAAGCCACAGGAGCGAAGGGGCCGTGTGTGGCTTTGGAAAGACTGGCTCTTGAAGCCTGCCGGGCTCTGGCATCCCCCGGCCATGACTCCGCTGTTTGCGAACGATGGAGCAGGACTCTGAGAGCGGCTGAGAAGGGGCCGAGAAGAAGGGCTCGGGAGGCATGCAGGCCAGGCTCTAAGGCCTCCTCTTACTCATTGCCATGGTTTCTCCATGCAGAGGCTGCAGGCGGCAGCCCTGAGATGTCGTGTTGGCTTCAGTAGTCCACAACCATTGGAACTGAATTCCCTCCACTCCAGTCCCTGGGAATGCCGCAGGAAGGGCCTGGAGAAGAACTCAATTTATCTATTTAAACGTATTATAAAGCTAGAGCAGACACCCCCAACTCCCCAGCCCCCTCCCCCTCCCTTGTGGTATAAATAGTTAGGCTTCTCTGTGTAACCTCTGAGAAATGTAAACATTCAAGACAAGCAACTGAAGAGCTCAGACAGAAAACATTAAAACTGCACTGATCTGTCCTGGAACTCTTATCTTTTGGGATCCAGGGGTGAAAAGGGGGGCCTTGCCAGTCAGATGAACCAGATTTGAGATAGTTGAGCTTCTGCACATATCTTCCTCGGGGACCGGTGTGTGTGTGTGTATGTGTGTGTATACATGTGTATGAGGCATGTAGAACCACTTACTGCATTAAATTAGAAGATTGCTGCAGTGAACTGGCAGTGGGGTCAGTATAAAAAAGCAAGTGATGCTATCTTTTGGGGGGGGGAAGGGGGCTAAGAGGGCTCTCTATCCCAGATCCCTTTGGGTGGGTCATATTTGAAGGAGGAACAGGGTGTAACCCGTTTGGGGTGGGGATGGGAACCGAGCAAGGAGAGCTGCTGACTTCTTGGGGGTCCTGGGCCTTTTCATGGCATCCCAGCAGCACAGAGGGAGCTTTGGGGGGATTTTCCTTCTGGGAACCACTTTTTTTAACAACTATGTAGCTCAGCTGGAGGTCAGTTTTACAGTTGCAAAAGCTGCGCCCAACGGCGTTTCTGGTCATTTGAATCTTTCTTTGTCCCTGGGGGGGGGGTTGGGGGGAAGGCTCCAGCCTCATTTCTTGGGTGGGGGAGGGGAGGGGATGACTTGAAAGGCTTTGCCCAGAGCCTGTAAGATGGAAGCTGGCCCCTCCCTTAGAGCCAAGAGGGCCTCCGCTTTGGTGGCTTTTCTCCCCCCCCCCCCCCCCCCCCGGTCTTCTTTGTAGGCTTCCTTTCTGCAGGCTCCATTGTCACTTGTCCCAGCCCCATTTTGTCTGTGCTGCACCTCCCTTCTTGCTTCAGCCTTCCTTCAGCTCAATTCTGAATGTTTTTGGGGACACCTGGATCCCCCTGTGAGAGTCAGGCTGATTGGGCTGAGGAGAGCTCCTGGCCCCTCGTTCTTTGCTGCCTTTGTTCCCGGGACTGGAGAGGCTCATCTCTGGTATAAAGCAGGGCTGGTCTCTCTCTCAAGGGAAGCGGCCTGTGAGCCCTGCAGATTGGACGCTTCCTTTGGTCCCAGCAGACAGAATCCTCCTTTCTGGCAACAGCATTCCATTTGGGGGAGGAAGCTGTATTTTCACTCCTAGCATTCTGAAAGCAACAGGCAGCCTGGGTCTCATGGGAGCTGGAAATCCCAAGCCAAAAGGCCGGTGGAGTTCTCTGTCTTCGGAGTGAGAGTTCCTGAGGAGACCTGCCTGCATGGGCAACCATAAGCAAGCATGGAGCCCAATCTAAGCCTTATCCACGGGGTTCCCGCTTGCAGGATGCCCTCTGGCACTTCGAGCAAGACTTCAGCCTTACGAGCCCCTGCTTGCTCCTCTGCTTAAATCCTTGCTTGGGGCCTTTTAGTGTGCATTGAACAATAGTGTATATAAAATATGTATGTATACATACACACACACATATATATACACGCAAGCACACACAGAATAGACAGTATATATCTATGCACACTGTAATCTATTATATTTTATATTGTTCGCTGCACACTGAGAGGTCTGAAGCAAGGATTTAAGCAGAGGAGCAACCAGGGGCTCATAACGCCGAAGTGTTGCATAGTGAACCACAGAAAATCCAATGAAAATTACATGTTACAGAAGGGAGGAGTTTTGATGGGAAACAATCCATGACCTTCCACTCAACCAGAGTTTAAGGCTGACCTTCCGCCCTGTGTCTAGCAAACGGGTTTCCATGGTCAGCCAAGGGTCCTCGGCTTGGCCTTCCACCTGGGGACAGGTTCTCCCCTGCTGGTGCCCTCCGGGGCAGAATCCCAACACTCTGGAGGAGACAGGGCGACATTCCTGCAGCTTTTGGGAAGAGTTCCTACCCTGTCCCTTGCCAGGGGTCCGTATGACTATGGCTGGGAGGGGCACTTTCCTTTTGAGATCACAGGAATCGCTAAGAAAGAGATTTCTCAGTTCATCACTATAAACACAAAGGTAACAAATCATCCCATAAAAATGAATTTGGCTTACTTAAATTTATTTTCTATGGCTGCCCATCTCAGGTGAGTGGGTGATGAACAAAATTAAAATCAATTAAAAGTAGTCCCAAACAAGAATATAAAAATTAAAATATGTAGCGGCTGAGGTGTCAAACGGGCTCCTTCGGACAACTGGGGTCCCATGTCCAGATACAAAACAAAGTTCTTGGTGCTTTGCTTTTCTATTGTTAAAATATGCCTTGTTGGGTTCTAGACAAAATTTGGGAGGGAAATACACTTGTACTGTATCCAGGGCAGATTTCCCAATATATTCAATTTTTTTAAAAAATAAATGTGCTCTTTTGCCAAGAGCTCAGAATTCCCTCATTCTATTTATCCGTTGCAACATCCTTTAGGTCGGGCGTGAGAAATTTATCCAAGAATGTATCCATAGGCTAGGTTTTAAACTGGGCTCCTGTGGACAAGTTCAATGCAAATGATAAGCACCAGAATGGGGAGTTGGGTGGGAAAAATGGCAGCACTTTTGAAAGCATCATCTCAAGAACAGCATACATGTAATGACACCATTGTTGCAGAACAAGGCAGCTTCTGTCAACAAGAAAGGTATCTTTTCCTGGATTTTAATTCTACTGATCCCTAAAGAGTTCAGGTAGCACATCTGTTTCCCCCCCTTTTTTTTTCATTTTCACAATTGGGGAGTAAGATTGTGTCTCCCATGGGAGGGGGCTTGGCCCAAACTGATGCCAAGACCAACATTTGGTTGCTTGCAGAAGGCACACATGGCATTCATGGAGACCCAGAAGCCTGGTGTTCCCGCAGTACCCAAAATGGTGCTAGTTCGAGGTCAGATGGAGGCTATCAATACAATCCCAAGGTTGGATTATGCATAGTAGCCTCGGGTGGATATTTGTGCAATCAAGAAAGAAGCCAGGAATAGAAGATTAAAAACCTGGTAGACCCCAGAGTTACCTTAGACGACACACTTAAAACAATTTGAAATACAAAGTCAGTGCCTGGAAGGCTACTATTCTGCAGGAAGCCATCTAACCACCATTGGTGTCTCTCCCCAGGATCTGCCTTGCCCCAGGCAGGGCTGTGTATTCTGGGAGTGGGAATGAGCCACTAGGGTGACATTCATTATTGAATGTCAGCTGCTGAGTCCTAATGGGTTGTTGGAAGCCAAGTCAATGGTAACACTGCCAAGGGTGGACAGTTGAGATTGCACCAACAGCTTTCCTACAACAATAGATGCATTCAAGGGTGGACCAATTTCTTCCCGAATTCTAACAAGACACATCAGAGAAATCGGGTAGGCTGTGTGGGGGTGCTGAGACAAGAGCCTCAAGTGCAGAGGGAGGAGGGGCTCACTGGCAAGGCCAACAGCACCTTCACATCCAGGTTGATGGCTAAAACTGTCACTTGGGGCTTTGAGAGCAGCTGGTGTTGGCACAGCCGGGAGGAGCCAAAATAGCTGCTTGTTGAGGGCACCTGTAGGACAGAGGAAGTGCCAGGATAGGCCAAAGGGCTGCAGAGCATCCTTTGAGCCTTGCTGGAAGTTTTGGTTCAGGGGTGGAGTTACTCTGTCCTGGCTCATTCTGGTTCTCAATCCTAAGAGTGACCATGTTGCCCTCCAGATATGGTACTGCCAGCAGCTCTACCAACACGGCCAGCAGCCCTACATGCCAACTGCAAGATGAGTCATGCTGGGAATTACTCTCCAGAGGCGGCTCTTTGCAGAATAGGCTAAACTGGGTTATATGGAAACCGACATTCATTTGCAGCTGCTGCTTGCCTTGGAACATGGATGCCTGACCCTCTGGCAAGGAGATGGACACATGCCATCCTCCGCCTGCCTTTCCTTGCTCCCCTCCCGAGATGGGATTCTCTCCTTCCGTTAGTACAAGCCATGCCAAGCAGGAGGACTATCCTTTTGAAGGCTTTGGTGGCACTGCCCCAAGCCTTGATATTTAGGGCCATTTCCTTTTGGGCTGGGGGAAGAGTCTGGCACCCCCCGACCCCATGCTGTCCCTTCTCACATCTTTTAGGATGTGGGTGGAGCTCTGAAGACTTCCCCCTCCCTCCCACAGAAAGCAAGAAAGGTGATCAGGAGAGTGGGGGGTGGGAGAAACTGTGGGTGCGAAGGAAGGTCTCTCTGACCTGGGCACAGGAAGGAAGAAATGGCTCCAACCCTCTCTTGACTTTGCTTGTGATAAGGTGGGGCAGGGGGAAACTTGGGCAGGCTGTCCAGGCAGATGTCCCTGGGGCTCCCGCCACATTTCTTGATTTTGCCCACCTCCACAAGGAGACCCTGATATGCTTCAGTTGGTCAGTCTCTCTCCATCAATTTCCGTTGGCTCCTGGGCTGGAAAGCAGCACCTCCAAAAGCAAAACTCTGGTGAATCTATTGGGAAAGGACCCGGAAGCCCCTGGTTTGCCCCCATCTAGAAATGCATGGCTAGAACTGTAGCCCATCAGCTGCAGATGGATTCAAGGTTCACCCCTTCTCTGAGTACAGGCAGTTCTTGACTTATGGCCCAACTGGGACCAGAATTTCTGTTGCTAAGCGAGGTGACTGTTAAGTGAGTTGTACCCAATTTAACCTTTTTTGCTCACATTGCTAAGTGAAACATTGCAGTTGTTAAGTGGCTCACGAGGTCATTAAGTGAATTCACCTTCCTCTATTGACTTGGCTTGTCAAAAGCCAGCCGGGAAGCTCTCAGAGTGTGATCACGTAGCCCCAGAATGCTACAACGGAAATAAATACACGCTAGTTGCCAAGTGCCTGAATTTTGATCACGTGACCCTGGGGATGCTGCAACGGTTGTGAGTGCAAGGACCAGTCACAAGCAACTGTTGTCAGTGCCGTCATATCTTTGAACAGTCGCTCAACTAAAGCGCGTAAGATAAGGACCACCTGGAAACTGTTGAGTCTTGCATGGATGCAGCTGATGGCCTCACCATTTTCACCGGGTCTGCATCCGCTGAGCAGGTTCCCATTCCTGGGTCACTCTGGCACACACACGGACACACACACACACACACACACACACACACACACACACACACCCCTTTAACACAGAGAGCTGGTTTGGCTTTGTGACAGAAATGCCTCAGTGAGCTCTAGTGGGAACAAGGACTTCTCGGTCCCCCAATTTTACATGAGGTGAAAGATGCCGGCATTTATAGGCTGGTTGGAACCTAGTTTGTTT